GGCGGCCACCCACTGAAATGCTGCCCCCCTCCCCCCGTGCTCTGGGCCCCCCCCCGCCCGCCGCCCCACCGCCCCCCCCCACCAATCCGCCACGTGCTCTGGGCTCCCTCCCTGCGAGCTGCCCCACGTCCCCTCCCCAGCATCTGGCTTGAATTTGCTCCGTTTAAATGAATTCCCAGAGGCCGGGCTGCCCCCTCGCCTCCCTGCGTCCCCCGTGGCATTGTGCCTTTGCACAGGGCTTGTGGATGCTGCAGAGCTCAGGCGCCTGGATGCACCAGCTTGCACGGTGGCCACCGAGGTTGCACGGTGCCATCCAGCTCCTTCTGCCACCACGGTCCCCCAGCAGCCGTGCAGAGCCGAGCAGAGACCCGGCTGCAGCAGGGCTGGGGGGCTCGTCCCTGCGTCCCCCGGTCCCATCTGACGCAGGAGACCACAGCGCCCTGCAGCACCCTGTGCTCACCGCAGCCTTGCTGGCACCTCCCGGGTTCCGTTGCTTCTTTCCAGCAGCTCCCGGCACAGGCTCCTGCCCCGTTTTGGCACAGCTTCGATAGGAGCGTGCATCCATCACCGCAAGAGGTAGCCGGGCTCGCAGGAGGAAAGTGCTGATGAAGCGGCACAGGAGGACCCGCCGTCCCTGCTGCTTGTTTTCTGCTACTGGGCTGTCACATCTGCACTTCATTCCCTGCCTTCCCTCCCGCCATCCCTCTCCCCAGCCTTATCTCCTGATAGGTACAAGTGATACAACCCAAAACGTTCATGTAACAAGCTGCCGGGCACTGAGCACCCAGGAAAATACCAGATCGGGGGGATGATTTATGAAAATAGCACGAGAGAGGAGTTTGCTGAGCCGTGGCGGAGACGAGTCGCACGTGGTGAGGGATGCTGGCTCCCATCGCTGCTCCCCGAGCAGTGCCAGCACCTTTGCTCCCGGCTGATCTGGATGCGGGGCCGTGCCTGGTGCCGGCGGGCGGCTGGAAGAGGAGGCGGAGGGGGGAGGCGGGTGCGTGGAGCCCCCGCGCTGTCCCTTTGCGGCCATTGATTTCCATGAAATAAGCCAGCCGGGTGTGTAATTGCACACAGCGATGGCAGCCTCCTTTACATGCCGTTCGGCGGGGCCCTGCTCGCAGGAAATGAAACTTTTCAGGCCACTAGACATTTAGTTTTCTTCAGCTGTTAATTCCCCCGCCCCGGGGAAAGGAGGGGGCGAGGGCGGCCTCCCGGGCAGGGTGATGGAGGGGTGGGCTGGGGGCTGCTGCAGCCCCCCGGGGGTGGGAGCATGCGTAGGAAGCGATGGGTGAGAGCATTTCGGGAGGTCAGTGCATCTTGCCTGCACCCAGGGCACCTTCCCTGCCCCTTTGCCCCCATCCTGAGCCTGGCTTGGCTGGTGGGAGAGGCGAAGCAGGCGCCGAGCATCCGCATCCCTGCCCCCTGCCAGCCCCGAGAGCTTTGCTGGGGAGCGATTTCTCCCCCCAGGCATGGAGTGAGCATCCATTCCCCTCGGCGAGCTCCTCTCTCGCAAGGTAACCAGCATTATATTCGGACCAATTGCTCCAGCATGATCCTCCTGAATGTTGCACAGCATGTACACGGCGTCTTATGTAAAATACATGCCCCTGGATGAGCCTTTTAATAGCAATGGCTCCTGCCCGGGGGGCGGGGGGGCCGCTCTCTGCCATGGCGGTGTCAAGAAATGATTGAAAAGTTGGGGCTCGCCGTAGGAAACACCCTGCTGGGGGGAACAACGTGTTTTCATTCCCCTGCCAGGTAACAAATGAAAAGAATTGCAATGAATGCTAATGGGGCGGGGAGCGGGATGCTGCGGAGGCTGCCGGGGCTGGAGCCGGGGCTGGGCAGGTGCTGGGGTGAACTGGGAAGGGGGGAGTCCAGCCCTGGGAACACGGGAGCTGCCAGGGGACCTCTGTTTTGCAGGCTGGAGCCGGCCACGCGAAGGACAGCACGCCCTGGCACGGGGCTGGTGGGCGCTACGGGGAGGATGCTCTGGGATGCTGTACAAAAATCGTTTCTTTTTTGTAGCAAATCGGAGCTGGGGGAACGCGCCAGCCCCCAAAATTCCCCTTGGCGGGAGCTCCCATCCCCAGGGAGCCCGTCCCGGGCCCTCCCCGTGCCATGGCCGAGCTGCCGTTGAACCAGCTCCTCGCAGGCAGCCGGCGAAGGGCTGCGCCGGGCTGAGCTGTTTGTAAATGCAGCCGGTCTGGAAAGCGGGAGGGTAAACACGGATGAATAGCCTTCATCCATTCCAGTAAATATTTTATATCACACACCAAGAAAAGACACTCCTATTTAAATGATTTATAAAGGAAGATCATGTAGAGGTTTCTATAAAATATGTAGGGCTCCTAATCCCGACATCATCAAGCAAAGAGGACTGAAATCATATATTACCTTTTCAACAGCCTCGCTGGCTGCAGGGATACAACTGACAAATAAAAGTGTGTTTACAGCTTTTGGGCTCCTCTGGGGAGAGGTAAATCACAGCAGGGGTGGGAAGGGGAAAGGAAGCCGGAAATTAAGTGGCAATTTCTGTCCGTCACGGCAGCGCGGGGCGGGGGGATGCCAGACTCGGGGGGCCCCGGTGTCCCCGTCCCGGGCAGTCATGCTCTGGGTACAGCGATGCTCGTCCCCCGGCAGGACCCTGGAGGGGGTGGGCACAGGGCATAAACCCTTCTGGGATGCCCGGAGCCGCACTGACGTGCAATGGGTTGGCGCACGTCGAGGCCGTGCCCCGCTCCGCTCCGCAGCGGGGCTGGACCGAGGGCAGCCATCAGGGATGAGTTTTCCATGGGCACCAGCGGAGTCAGGATCAGGCCCGCAGGGATACGGCCCTTTTAACCTTGGGGCTGGCATCTGCCCCCTCCACGCTGCCACTTGACGCTCCCATTGCCCCATCCTCTCGCCGCATCCTTTTGGGTCCATTTATTGAGCTTTTTTTCCCCCCGCAGACCCATCCGCTGCCGCCATCTCCCCACCGGGAGCCAGGGGGGGACCCGCGGCCCCTGCAGACGGCTCGCACCGTGCGCCCGCGCCGGCGAGGGGCGTGCGCGGCGGGGGGCGGGGGTTTGGGATGGGGGGGCCCCCCC